AAAATCATCTTAAAACTTAATACATCTCTAATAAGTTTTTTTTCTAAACCAAACCAAAAGATATTGAAATATTATACCAAAAAGTTGAATTATTCAGCCAATAAATGGTTAATACAAAAACCCAGACACATACCTAAATACTAGTGTATTACCCGCGCCCTGCGCGGGATTTTATTTTGAAATAATGATTTTTAAAAAAAATAAAGATCAAAACAAATAAAGAATAATGATCTTTATAAAAATCAAAGAAAAATATTTTATAGAAACTACATGTGAAGAAAACAATTCATATTCAAAACCCAATATTAATAGAAGATAGAAAACCAAAACCCAATATTAATTATTTTTTTATAATCCGTCTCAAACCAAACAAAAATACTTGAACAAAAACGTTTTGATCCCACTGTCAGTCCATCTTTTATTATTTTCTCATGAAAAGTAACCACAGTGCCGTTAAAAATCTAGCAGTTGTTTATGAGAACATAATTTCATTTCTTACATAAACTAGTTTTTTCCATTAAGAATTGAAATATTTATGGTTTTTTTAATGCATTTTACAACACACTTTTCACCGTTTTTTTTCGTAACTAGACTTTCTGTATCACTTTTGATGAATCTCTATACCACCATTCTTATAAATATCGAAATTTTTAAAGAAATTTCGTCTAGTAGTTTGCAAAGACTTTCTCATCGCAATCATAATCTTCTCCAACTTAGCCTTTTACTTTTAATCTTTCTGTGTCAATTTTACTTTGCATTGATTGATTTCAAAACTAACTATAGATAAATATTTCTGAAAATGCATTTACATTTTCTCCGAAATTGCATAATCTTATGAACACTAAATCAATGATTGAAATATTTATGATTTCTTAATGCAATATTTCAATCATTTTATGAACACTAGATTTTTCAACACACTTTTCACCATTTTTCTCTGAAACGGACTTTGTGTATCACTTTTAAAGAATCTCTAAATCAAGATTTTTAAAAATATCGACTTTTTTTTTAAGATGTTTCGTGTTGTATTCTTTTAGGTTTGCAAGGACTTTCTCTTCGACTTGATAATCTTCTCCAACTTATCCTTTTGTTTGAAAATGTTTAATCTCTTTGTGTCAATTTTACTTTGCCTTGATTGATTTCAAAACTAAATATAGACATAATTTTATGTAATTGCATAAATTACGATGTTACAAGATTAGAGCTCTTTCTTACAACCCCAAGTCATAAAATTAGTTCTCTTTTCTCTCTCTCGGCCACCTGTTATAATTAGGATTTTGTTTTCAATGATTTTGGATCTCTGCTAATCATGTGTTTAATTTTGTTGTCAATAGATGCACAACCGGCCTGGTCAAGAACACGTCCTTTTGTTCACTCCGGAACCGATAAAACTCTTCCCATCTCTTTCGAAGAAGTACAATTTGGTGAGATTAGTGAAGAGATTGAGGATGTTGAATCTAGGGAAAGTTGTTAGCTCTCTTCTTTGCACAAATTCGACTTTCTTGATCTGTTCTTCCCTGAGTTCGTCTCCGAAACACATGAAGGCGAGAATCTAGAACATTGCGTAACGTAGATGATCCACGACGACGATGGGTTCTTCTTCGTGGTACCTAGAAAACCGATCAAAGAGGGTCTCAAGAACAGAGCGCCGAGCGTGTGAATAAGATCTCACTCGAAAAGGATGAAGAATCTCAGAGGTTAGGTTACGACGAAGAAATCGCCACGTGGGTCCGTAAGATCCCAAGTTGATAGTGTGTTGCTTATTGGTGTTGATCTTGTTCGTTGGAAGCGCCAGAGGACGATCGGAGAAGACGGCGCCGTTTATGACGAGTGCCTTGTGAGCTAAGAAACGATCAAAGATGAATATCGCGGGGAAAAACTTGATGCGGATGGAGATGATTGGGCCGAGACGGTGGTGAACAAATCAGAGATAAGAGTTGAAATCACCGAAGCCTTGATGGAGCCACCGGAGAGGATCAAG